TGGGAGCTCTGGCAGGGACACACTCTTCGAGGCTGAGCCCTGGCTGACAGAACTGTGATGAAGATGGGGCCCCCATTCACGTCCCGTTTGATGTCTGGGATGTGCTCTGAAGGGGCCCTGAAGTGCCCAGAGAAGGTCTAGCATGTGGAGAAGGGATAAGACAAGGAGGGCCAGCTCTCTGGGTGCACAAGCTGGGAAGAAACACAGAGGGCACCAGGCTCCGAAGAGCCACACACGGGGAAGGAAGCTTTTTTGGGCCCTGGGACCTGACCACCAGGTGTTTCCTACAGGCAAAAGGGATACAGCCACTTGAGGTCCAAGACATTCTTACCCTGCCTGGAGACGCCAGGGCAGGTGGCAGAACCAGCAAAAGGTGGCCCATTCTGGGCCTGAATGAACATTTCATCACGGAAGAAATTCAAACAGCCAACAAGCAAATGAGAAGATGCTCCTGAGCCCCGCCAACAAGCCAAACTCGCTGCATGGAGTCTAGTCTGAACTCCTAGTAACCCGCAGGACACTGGGAAACGTCCTCTTTCCCCTGTGACTCAGCAAGGTGTATCCCCATAGGAATGACAAGAGGAACCCAAACAGATACTGTCTGTCATTCACTATATCCAAAAGTGGAAATGGAATGTCCATGTTCACCTGGTAGAATGAAACACAATGTGGCCCATTCATACAGCAGAACGTGAGTCAGCCTTCAAGAGAAATGAAGTTCACCACAACCCCGACGACCTTAGAAACTGCGTTGCTTCCAACTCGGAGTAGCCTATCGACAGATGGCAGAATGCAAGCTGCCTGCACCATCCTCACAAGCGTTACATGTAAGCCCCCGACAGGGCCACTGTCACGCCATCTCTTTGACAGTTTTCCTCTGATCTGAAGCGTGATGTCCTTCTCCAGGGACTGACCTTTCCCGACGACGTGTCTAAAGTGTGGGAGGTGAAGTCTCTCCATCTTCGCATCTGAGGAGCCTTCTGCCTCTGCTTCTTCCAAGAAGCAGTGTTTGTTCCGGCAGGCAGTTCACGTATGTCCAGTCGTCTTCGCCAGCACCCATTCAAATGCACCCTTCTTCCCCATCTTCATTCTTCCTTATTCAATATCCCCTTGCAGATGCCCGTGAGATGGTGGAAACACCAGGGCTCGGGCCAGGCCCACGGTAGTCCCCAAGGGGCATCCGTGCTCGTCAACATTTCCAGAGGTCGTGGGCAGCAGATTTCCCCACGGGGACATGCGGTTTGCTTTCTCGAGCGCCATGTCTATGAACATTGACAGTGGGTCCACGCACAACGAAAGCTTTGACAGCCTCCATCTCTCCTCTGTTTGTGATGATGTTGTCTATTGGGCGGGTTGTGAGGGTTTGGGTCTGCTTTCCATTGGGTGGGAATCCATTCGGAAGGCTGAAGTCCTTGATCTTCATCAACAAGCGTTTCAACTCCTCCTCACGTGCAGCAAGCCAGTCTGTTGATAACGTGATGCTGAAGGAAATAAGCCAGTCCCCAGAGGACTCTCTGGAAAGCTTAAATCCTGAGCACCTGGTTTGCAGAAGATCGTGGGTGACAGTGAAAGCCAGCACCCATTGGCAGAGGCCCCTTGTGGATTAAGCCTCCCCTGACTGGCTTCTGACCCTTCACCTCAAGCAGAGTGCCTTAGAAAGTGGATTCACAGGCTACACAAGCCCAGGGTGGGGCAGTCTCCCTTCAGGGCTTGCGAGGGTGTGTCATTGATGGGGATCATCTGACTGGGGTCACTGGTCAATGAGTCATACCCATCCGCCCTGGTCAGGAGGCCCTGGACCAGTCCCGTAAAGTCTTCTTTTAAACATTGAAGCACCCTAAGGCTCAGTTGCTAACCTGCTGACTCTCATTTCTGTATTTTTCCATCGCTTAAGCTTGCTCTTTCCGCAGTAGTTTTCTCGCCCAGAGCCACCGGATTCAAATTTTTGGCGACTGCTGCCCCGGCCCATAGCAAATACCAGAGGGAAATTCCGTGCTGTTCTCCCCGGAGTCCGAGTGTGCAGTGACGAGAACTGTCACCCCACTGTCGAGTTCTGCTGCTCTGTAAACCAGTTTGAGTCCCGCTCTGGACTGAGAGTCGCCATTGAGCGATAGCTGACTCCCAGTCACCAGCTGCAATAAGCTGCTCATTGCACCAGTAGCGCGTGGTCCCGATTGGCTTGGAAACCGGGCACAGCATCACGCGTGTGTCCAAAGCATGGTTTCCCTCCTGCTTCTGCAATCCCTCCAGCCATTGTGATGCCCTGATCTTCTCCTCTGCCCTCCCAGGTCTTTTAAAAACACGTAACAGTGTCGTGGACATGTGATTCACATAGTGCACAGTTCAGTGGCTTAGACATATTCTTTTTAAATTGTGCAGTCGTCAGTACAATCAACTTTAGAACATTGTCTTCATGCTTGGTGGTGCAGTGGGTCCCCCACTGGGGGGTGGCGAGCCACAAGGTCAGCGGTTCAAAATCACCGGTCTCTCTCTGGGAGAAAGGAGGCTTGTTACTCCTATAAAGAACTAGAGTCTCAGGAAGTCACAGGGGTAGCCCCGCCCTGTGCTATAGAGCCGCCGTGCGTGGGCATCTGCTCAGTGGCGGTGAGGTTTATTATTGGCTCCCCATTTCCCTTCAGCCTCCCCTGCCATAGCCCTGTATTGACGGGTTATCAAAGGCTGCGAGATGGCAGTGACAGCCCCAAACTCATTGGCAGAGTCCCCAGAGGGATTAAGGCTCTTGGTGTCCATGAAGGACGCAGAACATCTTGCTCGCTGGCAGAATGCCTTGGTGAGTGGCTGACCTCCACCCCTGTCCGGCCAGCCCAGGGAGGGACAGTCTCTTTTCGGGGATTGGTGGAGATCGCCTTGTCCTTGATGTGGTGATCACAATCACGAGTCCTGCTTATCAGTTGTGCCCCTGCAGCCTAGGTTGGAAGACCCCAGATAATCTTGTAAGCTCTTCTATCTGACAATGTCCGTGTCCCGACCGTGGCCCTGCTCCCCCCTCCGTGTCCCACCTGTGCGTGTGATGCGTTGGTCTACGTCCCTTGTGTGCGTGTGACAATTGTCTTTGCTCTGTGCCTCATTGAACAAGCCTCTTGACTGTGGTCCTCGGACACCGTCTTCGCCTCATGCGAACGACTGGGTCGA